AGGTGTAGGCAAGGACTTCATGACCAAAACACCAAAAGCATTGACAACAAAAGCCAAAATAGACAAATGGGACCTAATCAAACTCCACAGCTTCTGCACAGCAAAGGAAACAGTCATTAGAGTGAATCGGCAACCAACAGAATGGAAACATTTTTTTGCAGTTTACCCATCTGACAAAGGGCTGATATCCAGAATTTGCAATGAACGAAAACAGATTTACAAGAAAAAAACAAACAAGCCCATTGAAAAGTGGGCAAAGGATATGAACAGACACTTTACAAAAGAAGACTTACATGAGGCCAACAAACATGAAAAAATGCTCATCATCACTGGTCATCAGAGAAATGCAAATGAAAACTACATTGAGATACCATCTCAGGCCAGTTAGAATGGTGATCATTAAAAATCTAGAGACAATAGATGCTGGAGAGGATGTGGAGAAATAGGAACACTTTTACACTGTTGGTGGTAGTGTAAATTAGTTCAACCATTTGGAAGACAGTGTGGCGATTCCTCAAGGACCTAGATATAGAAATTCCATTTGACCCAGCAATCCCATTACTGTGTATATATCCAAAGGATTACAAATCGTTCTACTATAAGGACACATGCACACAAATGTTCATTGCAGCAGTGTTTACAATAGGAAAGACCTGGAACCAACCCAAATGCCCATCGATGATAGACTGAACAGGGAAAATGTGGTACGTATACACCATGGAATATTATGCAGCCATCAAAAACGATGAGTTTGTATCCTTTGTAGGGACATCGATGAACCTGGAGACAATCATTTTCAGCAAACTGACAGAAGAGCAGAAGATCAAACACCGTATGTTCTCACTCATAGGCGGGTGTTGAACAATGAGAACACATAGACACAGGGAGGGGAGCACTACACACTGGGGTCAGTTGGGGGGAAATAGGGGAGGGACGGTCGGGAGTGGGGAGCTGGGGAGAGGGAGGGATAGCAAGGGGAGAGATGCCAGATGCAGGCGATGGGGAGGAAGGCAGCAAATCACACTGCCACGTGTGTACCTATGCAACAATTTTGCATGTTCTTCACATGTACCCCCAAACCTAAAATGCAATAAAATAAATGGGGAAAATATGTTGATGACATATTAACATACTAATATGGTATTCTTTTAATAAATTTGGTCAGGTGACTTGTTTACGTAAAGTTGCATTGTTTTATTTCTTCTTAGATTTGAGGAGGCGATGAAGGAGGCTCATGCTGTAGATCAAAAGCTTGCAGAGAGGCAGGAAGATGAAGCCAGCCTGGAAAAGAAATGGCCCTTCCTTGGAGTTCCTTTCACAGTCAAGGAAGCTTTCCAGCTGCAAGGTACTATTCTCTTATTTTTGGCCACATGAGTTTAACTCACAAGTGGCTACATTTTCTAAAATTATAAACTAAAAAGGATGTTATAAAGGTGAAGGACTAACTCATGCTGCTTCTTCACTTTTAAAATGAGAGAAACGATTCAGCAAGTTGCATTGGAAAAAGAAATAATAATGGCAATTCTCTGTTAGCTCTGTATGGCATATGGGGGCACTATGATCAGTACCTATTAATCCTCACAGCCAACTTATAAGAATAGTATTATTGACCTTATATTTCAAATAAGAAAATTGAGGCTTATGTCTTTAAAGTATTTTGGCTAAAGCCAAACTTGGATTCTGATAAATACCTGTGCTTTCTCTTTGAAACAGTTCTTATTTTGTAACATCTTGCTAGCGTCAACAGTAAATGAAAATCTGAAATATTTGGAAAGTAAATGACATACTTTAAAATAACCCATGGGTCAAAGAAATAAATCACAAGGAAACTTTTGAACTGAAAGAAAAAATATGATAATATAACAAAACTTATGGGATGTAGATATATTAGCACTTAAAGGGAAATGTATGGCTTTCAGCAAGTATATTTGAAAAGAAAGATGTAAAATCAATAACTGAAGCCTGGCCTTAAATGGCTCCTGGGAAAGGGGTTAGTGAGGGAACTGCAGCGTCATGTTCACCGGGAACCTCTGGGATCCTAGCTATAGGGAAACCCTTGTCCCCTCTGGGTGTATGAGCTGGCAGGAAGATCTGGCAGAGAGCAGGCAGAGATGGACCTTCAGAGGGTTTGGAGCCTGGAAGCTTTTGGTTCTCTGGGCAGCTTTAGCTGAGAGCACCCACAGACATCAATACCCAGGCCTTCCCATTCCGCCAAGGATGTGCTGGCCGGAGTGACCTCTGAGCCAGTAGAGAGCAGGACCAGCTTCCCCATGGGACTGAGGTGCATTGGCCCTGCAAGCTTTCCTGCCTGCCAGCCCCTCCCAGCATCCATGCCTAGCTGCTTTGTAGGAGCAGTTTCATATAACAGCCCCTGTCACCCAACCTCAGTGTATTGATGCACCTAAGTACTTTCCTGGCTAGCCTGGATCATATTGGATCCCCTAGCATAGCTAGAGCTGAACCCCAGCTAAGGGACAGCAAGGTGCACCCAGGGTTGCAGTATGCTACTAGAGAGCAAGGAACAGAGATCTGTGGACAGTATCAAAGCAGGGGAGCAGCTCCCACTCATAGAACACTGAGAGGGAGAGATGCATGGTTTCCTGGGCCAGGTGAGATGGGCATGCCTCCCTCCACAGGGTGCGTCCATAGTGTGTGGTGTATCTCTCTGCTTCAACCTCTTCCTGAGAGGGCTGGTGGTACAGAACAGCTAACAAAAGAAATGCCAGTGCAGCACCACTGTTCAGAGGGGCTCTTCCAAATCTCAGGAGCAGATCTGGTGAGGGGAGTGCTGTCTCTTTCTGTCCTCCCAACTCAAGGACATGCCCACATATTAAAGGACATACAGAAGAACTGCACAACTTGGTATTAACCTAGCTACCAGCCATTACTCTTATGCTTCATCTACTGGATTGCAGCCCAAATTACACCACCAATCAATCATCCTACCAATATGTACACCTGTGAAACCAAGTGCAAGAATTCAAACACACATAAAGATTCTATACAGAACACTGGCCTTCTGAAAGAGTCCACAAACATAGCCAACTAACTATACTAAACTTACACCACAGTTACAGAAATAACAATCTTCAAAGATTAGAACAAATCAGTGCAAGTACTCTAGAAATATAAAAAGCCAGAGTGTCCCTGTTGACCTCAGAACAAGTCCAATAGCTCCCCAGAAATAGTTTTTAACGAGTCTCAAATGACTGAGATGACATAGACTTCAGGATCTGGGTGTCAGTGAAACTTATTGAGATTCAGGAGAAAGTTGTAATCCAAGGAATCCAAAGAATTCAGTGAAATGACCCAAGAGATGAGACACGAAATGGGCCTTTTAGGAAACAACCAAACAGAGCTTCTAGAACTTAGAAACTCACTATGAGAATTTCATAATACAATTGGAAGTATTAGCAGCAGAATAGACCAAACTGAGTAAAGAATCTCAGAGCTTGAATACTGTTTTTTCAAATCACCTCAATCACACAAAAAATAAAGAAAAAAGAAATTAGAAAAATGAATGAAACCTCCAAGAAATATGGAATGATGTAAGGAAACCAAACTTATGACTTGTCAGCATTCTCGAGAGAGAAGGAAAGAGAATAATAAACTTGGAAAATATATTTGAAGTGAAGAGGCTGACACCAACCTTGGTGAAAAGGTTGACATGCAAATCAAAGTGGTACAGATAATGGTGGTCACATGCTATATAAGATGACCATCCCCAAGGAACATAGTAATCAGATTCACCAAGTTCAATGCAAACACACACACACACACACACACACACACACACACACACACACACACACACACACTCTCTCACTCTTAAAGGCAGCTAGAGAGAAGGGTTTAGTTACATACAGAGGGAACTCCATCAGGCAAGCAGTAGAACTCTCAGCAGAAAACTTAGCAACCAGAAGATATTGGGGGTCTATTTTCAGCATCCTTAAAGACAAGAAATTCCAACCAAGAATTTCATATCCTCACAAATAAGCCTCATAAATGAAGGAGAAATAAATTTCTTCTCAGACAAGAAAATGCTGAGAGAATATTTTTCAACTAGACCAACCTTATGGAAGTGCTAAACATGGATTCAAAGAGTGACACCAGCTATCACAGAAACACTCAAGCTTATAGCTTTCATGCACTATAAAACAACTGTGCAATCAAGACTGTATAGCAAACAGCTAATAGCATGACTTGAATAAAATCACATGTATCAATACTAACCTTGAATATAAATGAGCTACATTTCCCAATTAAAAGGCAGAGTGTTGGCCAGGCATGGTGGCTCATGCCTGTAATCCCAGCTCTTTTGGAGGCCAAGGCAGGTGGATCACGAGGTCAGGAGTTTGAGAACAGCCTGACCAACATGGTGAAACCCCATCTACTAAAATGACAAAATAAAAGACAAAACACAAAAATTAGCTGGACGTGGTGGTGTTTGTTTGTAATCTCAGCTACTCAGGAGGCTGAGGCAGGAGAATTGCTTGAACCTGGGAGGTGGAGGTTGCAGTGAGCTGAGATTGCACCATTGCACTCCAGCCTGGATGACAGAATGAGACTCTGTCTAAAAAAAAAAGAATGTCAGGCTGGATGAAAAAACAAGACCCAACCGTCTGTGGTCTCTGAGAGGTCCATCTCACATATAATGACATTCACAGGCTCAAAGTGAAAGGATGTACAAAGATCCATCATGTAAACAAAAAACAAAAAAGAGCAGGATTTTCTATTCTTTTTATCATATAAAATAGATTTTTAAACCAGCAACAATGAGGAAAGACAAAGAAAGGCATCATAAAATGATAAAGGTTTTAATTCAACAAGAAGACTGACCCATCTTAAACATGTATGCATCCAACATTGGAGCACTCAGATTCACAGAAAAAAACTTCATAACATAAGACAATTCTTAGACAGCTACACAATAATATTACGAGGTTTCAAAACCCATCTGACAGTGTTAGACAGATTATTGAAGCAGGAAACGAACAAAGAAATTCAGGGCTTCATCTCAACACTTGACCAATTGCACTTAATAGACAGCTACAAAATGCCCCACCCAACAACCATGGAATATACATTCAATGGAACATACACTACATGGTCAGTCCTACTTCAAGTCTCAATAAATTAAAATATTAAATCTTACCAAACACTCTCTTGGACCAGAGTGAAACATAAATAGAAATCAACATCAAGATCTCTGAAAACTACACAAATACATGGAAATTAAACAACTTTCTTATAAAAGAACTCCTAGCTAAACATTGAAATTAAGGCATAAATCAGTAGCTGCAACACTAGAAAGAAGGTGGAGCAAAAGCAGCAAATCACACTGCCACGTGTGTACATATGCAACAATCTTGCATGTTCTTCACATGTACCCCAAAACCTAAAATGCAATTAAAAAATAAATATATAGCTAGTGCTCAACTTATGACCACGATTGGTTCTGACAGACTGGTCATAACACGATTTGGTCATAAGTTGAGTAGACTATATGTACAGTACTGTGAAATGATGTTATAAAAATCTTTAAGTCATATTTTATCATAATTTTCTTTCATTATTGTTATATATCATAATTTTCTTTGTTCATTTTATGCCATTTCTATCACCTCTACACCACTTTGTTTCTTATTTCCACATTCGTCACGTTTAAGTAAAACACTGCATTACCAGTACAACTGGTTTAATATTTGCAAAACATACAAAATTACAAAATACAGGTGCATACAAAAATACAAAATACAGGTGTAAAAAATACCATAGGAAACATTTTCCCAATTACAAAACATATCAAAATATATAAACATGTATGAAGCATTTTGTTGGCCACTGGTACTTGGCTGCGGATCGTTGATGTCATCTGGGGCAGCAGTTGGGGTTACCGGAGTTGATTTTTTCATAAACATGGTGAGCTTTTTCTGAATTGTATGTTTTTTTTTTTCTTCATAAATTTCACAATATGTATGAAACACATCATGTGCCATCCGTTCAATCCTTGCAAATCGTTCAATGTTTGGGTCCATTGCTTCGAAATGTGTAAGAAGTTTATTCAGTAAAGATAAACCGTCTGATAATCCCTTAGTGGTGAACTTTCTTTCTGGCTCCTCCTCTTCTTTTTCTGCTTCTCTTCTTTCTTCTTCCGCCACTCTTTCTTCTTCCAGTTCGATTAGCTCTTCATTTGTAAGTTCTCCGGATTCTTTGTCTAGCAACTCTTCAACATCTTCCATTTCACACTCCAAAGAAAGGTCTTTAGCGAGTTTTACTATTTTTTCCCGAATCGTTTCAAGTTCATGTTCACTGTCAAATCCATCAAAATCATTAACATCGCGC